GAGATTTAATGCAAGCGACGTGCGTAATTCGATCCTAAATGGCTGTCCTCCCTTGTCCTCGCTTGGAAGTATCCAATGAAAACATTTCTATACTTTTCGGAAAATTTGCCCATTAATGTTCTTTATTGTTTCAGCTTATAGCTCAGAAGACAGTTGAGAAGTATGAGGTGACCATCCACGAGATGAACATCCGTATCGAGGAGTTGAGCCGATCCGTTACAGAAATCACAGCTCAGAGATCGAGACTGAGCTCAGAGAACTCAGATTTGATGAAGGAAGTGCAAGAATATAAAATGTCACTCGACAATGTGAATCACATCAAGTCTCAATTGGCATCTCAACTGGAAGATCTGCGAAGGAAACACGAAGACGAAGAAAGGGTAATTCACTTTGTGATGTTTGCTTCTTCTAAATGTCTCCAAAATAGTCTATAATAACTAAATGTAAGTAGTCTAATGACCAAAATAGCTAAATGTCTCCAAAACAGTCCATAATAACTAAATGTAAATAGTCTAATAACCAAAATAACTAAATGGCTCCAAAATAGTCTAATAACTAAATGCAAATAGTCTAATAACCAAAATAACTGAATGTCTCCAAAATAGTCTAATAACTGAATGTAAATAGTCTAATAACCAAAATAACTGAATGTCTCCAATGATTTCAAAAATATAATTTTAAAAAAATTGGAGGAAAATACAGTTAGCTGTGCTGCTTAGGAAACCAGACCAGAAGAATGTGCTACCCATTTTCTCACCCAAATTTCAAAATCAGTTACAAATTTCGTCAAAAGATGGCACTGTTGACTGTAAAAATGATAAAATAATATTTTCGATTGCATATAAGACCATTTCAACTGAAAGTATTAAAACGGATGTATTTTTTTTATTTTATTTTATAGCCATCGTTGAACAACCATCCTAATTTTTAATGTTCAACAACGTAGCCTTGTTATTTTGCACCCAATCCAGAAGACAAGGAAACTCCTGGAACAAGTATTGGGAGAAATTTGCCTTCGTGGAGGGCTTTAGGTGGAACTAACCCTCTTTTGCTTTACATGGAGAGGAAAACCTCCCATGGTTAGCCTGACGACAAGGGGACTCTAACCCATGATCCGTCAACCACTGAAGATATTTTACGTCAGCTCTTTGGTCGGTACAAGCCAGATGCGGAATTCTAATCGACCATCCATTGCTGGGATTCGAACTCGGTTCACCTGATTGGAAGGCTCTATTCCCTGAGCCATCATGGCTCGGCTCGGCTGGTGTTAAAAATTGAACTAAAAATGATTAAAATTCAAATATTTATAGCAAAACAACACATCACTGATTTGTTGATAGGCTTGCAATAGAACTTAAGATTAACATTTCAGCAATATTCCCTGATCTATATCCGTAAAATAATATTTTCCATTGCATATCAGATCGTTTTAACTGAAAATAATAAAACGGACGTACGTTAATTTTGCCCTTGGACTGCATCGCGTTGTTGTTGCAAATGCTGGTTGCTTTAAAATAGTGTTTACGATTGTTTAGTTTGCTACGCCCTCTGCTGATGAACTATGTAACTAATTTTGAAACTTGATAAAAACTATTGTCCAGTTTCTTATGCGGACACGGTAAAAATGCTTCTGTTTTACCTTTTCATTTATATATTTTGGTTGATATTTTCAGCTATCGAACAATTTTTTTGACATTTTTTCGTTAAATTTATCCTCAATCTTATTATTATCTTATTATTATTAATTTCTTATAAATGGATGTTTATTTAATATATATGTACAATAAATTAAATAAATATCATTTAACAAAAGGCATTTTTTAATAGTGATTTTCAAAATTTTATACTACTTTTGAAATAACTTCTTTATAGAAATTTTTTATTTAGTATATTATGATACTAAAAAAAAAAACATCATTTTTGCTAGTTTTTACTATTTTGAACTCATTATTAGGAAATTCACGTGACTTTGGATTAAAAACTGGAAAGTTCCAAAAACCCTCATTGATCTTAATTTTGAAACTAAATATTGAAACTTTTAGCAAACCCATCAGCGAACACAAAATTGTAATTTAAAAGATAATATACGGTCTTTAAAGTAGGGTTTTCAACTTTTTTGTACTGCACCCTCCCTTTCCGAAATTCTTCATGACCTTAAAAAATGCATAATTTTTAATGTTCAAAAATTGAAGTGTTTACTTAAGACAATTGAATGGTAGATTGAAATAAGTAAGAAATTATTGAGAAAAAACAGTAAAGATATTTTCAAAACGTAAAATGAAAAAATAATATTGAAATACAAATAATTTAAAAAAAACATCTATTTTTTATTATTGGTATATACTTGTTATTAAAATAACTAAGCGAGATCTTTGATGCAGAAAAACGTTATGTTAACTTCTAGTTAAAATTGGAGTTCCACCGAGAATTCCCGTTTTGTACTATTCCGCCTATTTTAAGTATTTTTCCACAGCTATCCATATTTGAATCAAAAAAATGTCGCCTCACCTTTACGAGCATATCTTACCCGTGATAAAAATTTATTCATTTGAAAATTAGTATTTTAAAAGTAAAGTTTTCGATTTTTGAATTAGTAAAGTTGGGACCTATCCTATTGTACAGTGCGCAAAATAAAATAACAGATCACACTGAATATCTTTAGATATAACGATCGAATGTTCACGTTCTATTACTCAGTTTTAATGGCTCGACCTCAAATATGCCAATCAATTAGTGCAAACGATATTTTAAGTTACGCAACCAGACACTAAAAACGTCCTTTTTTAGAATAAACGAACTTCTTTTTCCGATGGATTTGGATTTCCGCCCCTCAAAATATAGGGGGTAGCCCCAATTCGGGAAATAGGGTCCCAATAGTTTGGTCAGGAGACAGGTCCAAAGTTTGGAACCCTTAATGTTAATTTGATTTTTTCCGTATTTCGCCACATCTAGAGAACTTTTTAAGCGAATTGAAACAATTTTGAACGCACTTATAAGACTCGTTTGTCCAAAGAAAATTCTATGAAAAAAACAACAAAATTTCGTAAATATTTCTTATTTTTTTATAATTTTATTTAGTAATAATTAAAAAAAAATTAAATTGTAAGGTAAATTCTTTTTTTGCATCAGATTAAAGTTTGAAATTATTCAAGGTAAAATACAGAAAATAATCAAATTCGTTTGAAGAGTTTGTGAGAAAGAGAATTTTAAGAAAGTTGTATATTTTAACCCTTTAACGGGCCCTTTATTTCTAGTAAAGGTAAATTAAAGTATTTTTGGAATTGTTTTAAGAACAGTAATTGATATAAAAAGAGAAGAACTCATTTAGTTTATAAAAATGCCATTTTTTTGGTGGTGAATATATTTAACATGACCTATTAGGAACTTACTAACTTTTATTTTTCTTTATTTATAAAATAAATTCCTTAAATGCTACACACTTCAAAAGGAATTATGTATTTTATAACTTTTGTACGCTTTTTTGAAAGTGACAAATGGTTACCAATTTTATTCAAACTCACTTCAAGAAAGCTGAAGTTATTGAAAAATGGAAACCTAAATTAAAAGTGGTAAAACGTGGCGGTAAGTATACTTACCACGTCCTTCAAAAGGGTTAAATTCGATTTCTCAGAAACTATTCAGCCCATTTCGGTTGAATTTTGTATTTTGCCATTTTAAAATACGTACTTTAAAATGATGCAAGCATTTTATACCTGACAATTCAAAACTTCTTGATTGTTACTAATTAAAATTAAAAAAAATAGTGAATATTTACAAATTTTTTTTGCATGGAATTATTGTTGGACAAACGAATTACATAATTCTGCGAAAATTCTTTTTAATTCTCTCAAAAAGTTCTCGAGATAGAGCGAAATTCGCAAAAAATCGAATTAACATTAAGGAGTCCAAACTATGGATTGTGAACATGTTTCCAGATTTCAGCAACCTTCTATATTTAGGGGGTCAGAAATCAGAATCCGTCTAAAAAGAGGTTTGCTTTTTCATTCAGAGAAAGTACGTTTTTGTGTCTGATTTCGTAGCTTTGCATTATCGTCTGCGCTTCTTGAATAGCATATTTGAAGTCACCCCCTCGAACCATCGAGTCCTAGAACGTGAAGATCCGATCATTAGATCAAAAGTTATTAACGACGGTCCGTTTATTTTTTGCGCACACTGTAAAGGTTGATGCGTTATGATCACTCTTAATTAGCAATTTTAAAAATCGTTCTTGGAATTTAGGGCTTAAGAATTCTGTGGGTCTTTAGCGAATAAGAAACAAAAACACTTCCAAAATCTAACAAATCAAAACAGAGAATAGAGGGAGGAAACGCATCAAAAATTGTTTCATTGCCGAAAGATACAAAGAAGTTTTGAATGACCTTCACTAGGAACCATCGGGTAAAATGTAAAAAAAAATTACTGTCGACCAGTGGTAGCATTTTCAACAATGCCTTCTTTTTTAAAATCGGAACATTTTAATGTTGATAATATTAAGGTATTTCTTTTCGACCATTTCCAACAATACCGTAAACATTACTATAGCTACACTTCTGAAATGTATGTTGAAAGAAGCTTGAAAAAAACTAATTTTCAGAATATTATTAAATATAAAGTAAATATTTAACTGTTGTGAAGAGGCACTAAAACTGGTTTTGATGTTTCCCAATGTACCTTCGTTTATTAGATAGCGTTTTTCTTTCTGTCCCACTGGAAAAAAATTTTTGTCATACCTAATTTGCATATTTTTCAAAAAGATATATATATATATATATGTTACAGTGAATGACCTAAATCAAGACCACCAGTGAATGTCAACCATCACATAGTTGTTTTGGTGAATGTCCGAAATATTTGTTACATCCAACTTGATATTATATTATATTTATTCGATATTTTAATATCTACTGAGGATAGATTAGGAAAACATCAGTGTTTGGAATACCGATTAAATGCATAATGGGAATTGGCACTTGACCTTAAAAAACATTTATGTAGGGCATACCGGGCAGTGGCACTAAACTAGACCTAGTATATATATTTCCAAAGCGAGTACGTGATTCTCAACATTCGCCGGTGAAAGTCAACAACTGACCATTTCTGTCATTCTCAGTAACTAAGATACCTTTATAGTATAGTACAAATTATGTTTTTGTATAGAGACGCTCCATGTTGGAACAAACAGTCCACACCTTAGAGATGGATGTAGAGTCCTACAAAGTACATTTGGATGAAGAGTCTGAGTTGAGGATTGACATCGAAAGGCAATTGGTGAAAGCAAACGGAGAGTGCGCCACCTACAGAACGAAATATGAAACAGAATGCTTGGCTCATGCTGATGAAGTGGAAGAACTCAGGTAAGCACGGTCAATCTATTGTTCTCAGAGTAATTTTCTGTATTTATGGTGTTTCCTAATGATCGCCCTTGACGCGCTGTATTTGAATCTTCGCCCTAAATAACCTACAATGGCAGTCCCGACCCATGAGGTGATCCAGGATAAAATATGCATTTATTTTTAACGCATTGCATTAAAACGTTAAACCATTGATACACGAACATACAACAAGTAAAAACAATACAGCTGCATAGATAATTAAGATTTTGCATAGAATCTTACTGTGCGTCTAATGATTTGGCCAGGGACTGTTGTACTCGAATCCTCGCCCTAAATAACCTACAATGGCCGTCCCATGACCCATGAGGTGACCACAGGATCGAATTCCAGTGATGGTCAATGTAAAATAATTCCCAGTGAAAGATGAATCCCATTGGTTAAATTGCTGTCGAGCTGCTCGTTGTACAATTTCGTAACTCCCTGTAACGCAAATACGGATCAGTTTCATTAAAAAGCCCTCCACGGAGACTAGCTTGCTCTTAACGCTTGATTAAGGAATTCTCTTGTCTTCTGGGGTGGGATCAAAGTCAAAAGGCTGAACATTGATAGTCACAAACTCAAAAATGGTCCCGCTTTTCAACGCTGGATATAAAATAGAGCATAAAATATTAATCCCAAAGAATAAAAAGATCTATAACTAATTTTGGAGGTGAGCACAATTGGCTTTGAAATTTCAAATCTATTGGATAGAATCATTTAAATGAGTCTAACCAATAAAAGTCTCCTCTTTCAATATGGAAAATAAACTAGTTTTGATGATTATTAATAATGATTCATCGGAAAAGCGGTGATTTTTGGAACTCAATATTCAGGATGGAATGTTGTACCTTAATACCAAGATTGGCACTTCTAACCTATTTCTTCTTGGAGATTAGAAGTAAATGGAAGAAAAAAAAACCCGGAAGAAATGAAAGAAACAAAAATGATCAATTCTAGTATTTTGAAATAAGTGCTATAGAATAGCTCAAATTCACGTAAATTAAATTTAATACATAAAAAAAGCTATGTTACAAGCTTTTATTTTTTTTAAAAAAGTATTTTTTTTCATATTTTTATTTTGGTTCCATACAAAATAAATGTTGTGATAAATGTGTTATCACAACATTTACTTTAATAAAGGAAATGAAATTTAAATGTGTTATCACAACATTTATTTTAATAAAGGAAATGCAATTTAAATGTGTTATCACAACATTATTTTAATTAATTTGTAAGCAAGGAACTTGTTTTATGACTTATAATAAAGAGGCGATATTTTTTTTCCATTACTAATTTTTTTCTTTTATTCCCTAAAGCATTTGCTTCATTATCCACTAATGCCTTTTATGCTTTTCTATTATGCTTTATAAATTTAATCATTTTTAGTAAAATTTCCAATTCATTAAAAACATCAATCAAAATTTTTAACTTTCATTTTTCTGCTCCTGTTCTTAAAAATGAACAGTGTCTAAATTGCAAAATCGGGAGTTTCTGGTATTACTATAAACCATTCATGTAGCAATAAATCCTCTCGTAGTATGTGAAATAAAAATTTCTATAACTGAGATTAGCTTCAAATAAGATTACCTACATTCTAAGTATGAACTGATAGTAGATTCCAATAAGATTACCTACATTCTAGGTATGAACTGAGAGTAGGTTGAAATAAGATTACCTACATTCTAGGTATGAACTGAGAGTAGGTTCAAATAAGATTACTTACATTCTAGGTATGAACTGAGAGTAGGTTCAAACAAGATTACTTACATTCTAGGTATGAACTGAGAGTAGGTTCAAACAAGATTACCTACATTCTAGGTACGAACTGAGACTAGACCAAATAAGATTACCTACATTCTGGGTATGAACTGAGAGCTACTGTTCCTTGTGTAATACATCTGCAATATGTGCAGTAAGAGTCTGTTATAACGACAATGCGCAATAGCAGACTTAATTGTCGTCATAGTGAGCTCATCTTTATAAACGAATACACATATTTAAATTAACAGAAACAATAAAAACAAACTAAATGATGAAAGGGGCACATTTACCTCCTTTCCTTTTATGTTGAGCATCAATTTTATTTTAAAATACGTCCCACAGTGGACCGATCTTTCAGTCATGGTTCCCAGTTGAACACCGAAGTCAAGCATCACTTGCTGTGGTCAGTGTGCGGGTGGGTGACAGCTTGGATCAGTCTACGAAAGGACCAAGGATGTGCTGCATGGGTCTTCGTTAAACTGTTCTACAGTAAAGTGATCGACTTAGCACGAAGACCTTCGGGCTACCGAATCGAGGGGGGACATCCCCTCTGCAGAGGATCAAAATTGTGATGGAATATTTTCGGATCATTCTCAGGGATGTTTCCCAGGCAGTCACCTCTAGAATGACGTAAATAAACTACAATAATTTAAAGTGCATATTTAGAATAAACCGCTTTTGTCTGCAGATTGCAGACGAGACAGAGACTTTTTTCAAGAAATAAAATTAATTGCATTTGACCCTAATTCGATACTCAGATCAGAAAAAGAAAATAATAAAGTAGACTTTTCAATTATCTTCCCCCCCCCAGAAAAAAAGTGTGCATTTTGTACAACTTGTTTGTTCTCTTGTGTGCAGACGTAAAATCACCCAGAAGACTGCTGAATATGAAGAACAACTGGAAGCTCTCCTCAACAAATGCAGCTCCCTCGAAAAAGCAAAGTCCAGACTGCAGAGTGAAGTGGAAGTCCTTGTCATGGATCTCGAAAAGGTGAGTCGGTTTTTTCATTCAGCCTAGCAGGAAAACCTGGTAATCGACTCCTTTCCGAATAGCTAGAATGCTCAAATATTTTAACTATATCTCCAAATCTGATGACAATATAAGTTTCCATCACTTTCTTACTTATACAAACAGAAGTTTTTGTCATTTTATGCCAAACAAAAGTAATATTAGTCAAAATTCCGACCACTTTATGATCAGCTGAGGAACTTGTGCTCGACTACAATACAAGTTCTCATTATTAGTGGAATTAATCTTCCCCATCTTTGTAACAAATGTCATGAGCAGATAGGGAAAACCTGGTAATCGAAATGTCGACTACTTTCCGACTAGCTAGAATGCTCAAATATTTCAACTGTAGCTCCGAATCCGATGCAACTTTCTTACTGATGCAAAAAGAATTTTTTGTCATTTTATGCCAAAAAAAAAATTTATATTTGTCAAAATTCCGATCACTATCCGCTAAATAACTTGCTCTCGATGACAAGTTTGTTTTATTAAATGAACTAATCTTCCCATTTTTGTAACAAATGCCTTAAGCAGATGGTGTTTATGACAAAAACAAACAATATTTTTCATTGAATGGCAGACCAATCGAAATATTTACACTACGTCTAAACCTTAATCATTTGTTTAAAAATCTTGTAAAAACTTGGTGAGAATTTCTTAAAGAGCACGCAGCAAACCTTAAATCCATTCAATTTTTCTCTAACTGATTAGGTAAATTTTTGGAGCTCATATATTTGACCATTTCTATCGGATAGGATACGATCGGATTTCAATAGGATACGAAGAGAACTTTTTTCCTATGTTACATGATACAAATTACGTTATGGATCATAGGTTCAATGTGGTAGCTGTGGAAACTATAATTTCGAGATGAAGAAATTCGGTCATTTAAATATTTTTTAATGGGTCATTATCAAAATTCTTTCGGGGGAAAAAAGAAGAAAAAAATGCTATAGGAGAATATACATTAAAAAAACATTTAGACACATATAGTACTATAGTATTTTTATGGAACATCTTTTTCTTATTCTCTTTATTTTTTTTAAAAAATGGCAACAGACCGTTTTAAGAAAATAAGAAAATACATATCTTCAAAAAAATATGCATTTAAATTTTATGTAAATATGACTAGAAGCCGTTGAAATAACAATTTTTTTATTCAACTATTTGTGGCAAGAGACGAGACATAGCAAAAAACACACACAAAAAAAGTTTCTGCTTTATTCGAGCATAAAACATTCGAAATAAAAGCTTATGTTTTTAACAATGACAAGGGCTGCCGATCATTGTTGTTCGAAAAAATTGTAAATGAGTGAGAAATATAGCATGAATTCGCCTGTTTGCAAAAACTTCTTTTTTCATTATTTTTAGAATATAATTGAACGAATTTAATACAAATATGGCAGAGAGGAGAATGTTTCGTTTCGAGAAAGAAAAACCTTTTAAGTTTTATGACAACTATGCTACCGTGAACAACCGAAGTCAAAAGAATGTCGACTTTCACCGGTGAATGTCAACAATCCCATAGTCACTTTGATCATTGTCCGAAATATTTGTTATGAAATTAATATATATGAAATTAATTTATATGAATATGAAATTAATTTATTCGCGGATACTAATTTATTCGTTGATATTAATTTTTCGCTGATACTAATTTATTCGTTGATATTAATTTATTCGTTGATATTATATTTATTCGATATTTTAAAATCTGCTGAGGATAGATTAAGAGAAACATCAGTGTTTGAAATACCAGTTAAATGCATACTGGGCAGTTACACTTGACCTTAAAAAAACATTGATGCAGGGCATACCGATCAAATGTATACCGAGCAGTGTTACTGAACCTTAAAAAACACTAATGTAGGGCATACCGGGCAGCGACACTTCACCTTAAAAAAACATTGATGTAGGGCATACCGATCAAATGTATACCGGGCAGTGCTACTGGACCTTAAAAAATATTGATTTAGGGCATACCGGGCAAATGTATATTGGACAGTGGCACTTAACTAACATACACAAATGAAATTTTTTACCTTTTGAGGCATCGTGTTCAGACAGACAATTATTTCGGTCTACGTTTTCATAAAAAAAATCAGTTCAATGTTGATTCGTAATATCAATACTTTGAACCCTAATATATCAAGCAAATTTGCAGTAAGTTTCATTATTTATTGAGTTAGAACCCTATTTTGTCTCAATATGAGCCATTACTTCGTGCTTGCAAGTTTAAACAGGAATAACTTGAACAAACATTTGAAATAATTTGACAACTTATTGTATCAAATTTTTCTGGTAAAAAGGACTCCGTATTATGTAAAAATAAATTTACGTATATATGTAAATTTAAGGAATAAGTATTAAAAGGACTGTCCATTAGTCAATTAGGACTATAATCTAGGTTTGGGAGGCCGGTGGGTAGGGCCCATTTCCAAGATTTCGTGGGTTCGATCCCGGCCGGCCGAAGACTCCCCGTGTAGACTGATGCTCGTTAAATCTGTCGAGTCGCAAAGTCCTCCATGTTCACATAGCAAATCAAAACCTCTGGGGGTACTGATCCTGGAGTTTTCTTGTCTTCTAAATTGGCTTAAAACTACAAGGCTACAGAGTTGAACAAATAGTCGCAAACCCCCAAATTGGGTCGTCTGTTCAACAACGGATATCAATATAATATAATAATATATAAGCTAGGTCTAGCCATGCAATCGCAAGGCTAGCTTGCCAGTCTCTTTAGAAACACCGGTACTTGTTTTACCAATAATAATACCATGCAATTAGTCTGTTAAATGTCCAGTTAAATGTTATTGTTTTGAAAATTGAGAGTTTGCACGCTTTTTTACACTATAATATTGAAAAACAGGAATGGGAATAGAGTTAAAACCCAACCTAGTTTAATATTTTAGTGTGGTTTATATTGGAGGCGGCTGTCATACCATGGTTCAAATACTAGTTAAATCGCACAACTATGATTTTTTTTTATCAATGTTTTAAGCTTAAATGTTCATGGGCTGCAGACATAAAGGATAATACACTTCATTGCATAAAGCAATATTATGATGTGACAATACCAATATTTTTTTTCAACTGTGAATACGATCTTGTGATAGAGAAATCAACACAAGCGAATAAACTTTGAAATTGAGATTTTTTTTATATTTGTAAATTTTGTAGTGTAAGCTACATACTTCAAAAAAAAAATTTTTTTTTGCAAATTTTGGTTTCAAAATTTTTTCAAAAATTCAATTTTTAAAAAAATTTTTTTTTTTACAAAATTCGGTTACGTTTTGCTTATTTATCTTGTTTCTACACTCGCAGGGCAGTATCTTGTTGAAAAAATATCAATGAATTTTTTTTTTTAATTTACTAGCGGTTTAATGTATGATTTTTGTTTTGTTTGCTCAGGCAACCAGTCACGTGCAAGTCTTGGAGAAGAGGGTGGTCCAAGTGGAGAAGATCAACGTTGAGTTGAAGACCAAAGTGGACGAGATGACCATCCTGTTCGAGACCTCACAGAGAGACCTCAAGAACAAGATTGCCGATCTCCAGAAGGCACATCACGAGATCGAGAATCTCAAGAGTACCATCGCCTCCCTCACACGAGAGAACAAGAAACTAGCAGGTCAGTTTCCCTTTTTTACAATGCTACAGTATTTGCGATACACGGAAAAAGAAAATTATGAAAATCTTATGTTTGTAAGATCAACAACCCTGGGGAGGGGTCTAATCTGTAACTTAGCTATCATTGGGATGACTTTAAGGCAGAACTGTGGTTGAATGCTCCCATGGAGTAGTATGTGAATCCGCTGTCTTAGTTAAGATTTGATAAGGGGTACTTGTGGCAAAAATGATACCAAAGTCATAACTGTCCATACAAATGCTTTGGGAAAAAGAGCCATGTTGCTCAAGGGATGGAGCTCTTGTCACAAGAAAGTGACACCAAAGTCATAACTGTCCACACAAATGCTTAAGCAAAAGAGCGAAATTACTCAAAGGTTGGTGTCTCCTTCTAATGNAAAGTGGACGAGATGACCATCCTGTTCGAGACCTCACAGAGAGACCTCAAGAACAAGATTGCCGATCTCCAGAAGGCACATCACGAGATCGAGAATCTCAAGAGCACGATCGCCTCTCTCACACGAGAGAACAAGAAACTAGCAGGTGAGTTTCCTTTTTTAGAATGCTTACAAATCCCTTCTTGCAATGCATAGGAAAAAAAACTATAGCAATCTTATATTCCTAAGACCAACAACCCAGGGGAGGGGTCTAATTTATAATTTTCCTATCTTTGGGATGATTTTATGGTAGAACTGCAGTTAAACGTTAACATGGAGCAGTATGTGAATCCGCAACCTTTGGATTTGATATGGATATGATATGATATGGGGTACTTTTCACAAAAATGACAGCAAAGTCATAACTGTCCATACAAATGCTTTGGGAAAAAGAGCCATGTTGCTCAAGGGATGGAGCTCTTGTCACAAGAAAGAGACATCAAAGTCATAACTATCCATACAAATGCTTTAGCAAAAGAGCGAAATTGCTCAAGGGATGGAGCCCCTGTCACAAGAATGTGACACCAAAGTCATAACCGTCCATACAAATGCTTAAGCGAAAGAACGAAATTGCTCAAGGGATGGAGCCCCTGTCACAAGAAGGAGACATCAAAGTCATAACCGTCCATGCAAATGCTTAAGCGAAAGAGCGAAATTGCTCAAGGGATGGAGCACTTGTCACCCATTGAGGTGACTCTAATCGCTGCGATGGCTGGTCTATTGTTCCCGTCTCGCATTGATTACAGTGCTGACCGAAACTGTAGAGGCCCACTGGTAGATGGTTCATGAGCCCCATTGTTGTCTGCTAATCATGTGATGGTTTTCTCTTGATGTAATGCAAATGTAGAGATTGGTTCTACTCAAGAGTGTGTCGTAATGCATGATCCAGCAGTCTTCGGATTCGAAATAACTGAACTACAGAGTTGAACATCCGATATGATTAAGCCTGATCGTAAAATGTTCCGCAATGCGCATCAAAGGTAAAAAGAGAAAGAAAGAAATGCCTCCAATGCCAAAGAAAAAAGTTGCTTGCTATAATTCCAGAGGTGGGTCTTAAATCATTATCACTAACAATACGCAAAAGTTTGCCTTTTGCCATTCATTAGAGGATTATGACCCCTGCTCGCTTCGCTCATCAACCTAGCAACAATTGCTGCAAATTTTTTTTCATTGTTTCTGGATGATGAACGGATTGTTACTTCTAAATAGAATGAAATTTTTTTTAATAAAAATTATTTTGCTCGGCAAATTTATCTATAATTTCAGTTTGATTGAAAATTTTTCACTCAAGTATTGGTTACTACAAAAATCCTAAAAATGTTTTTCGCCTGAAAGATTATTAAATAATAGTGCAAAAAAGTTAGTTTAAAAAAAAAATAAAGTTTTGAAATTTTGTTTTCGTTTTTTTTTAATGACACACGTTGAGTGGGCACAGTTTTACGCATATCTTGTAATACATGTAAATATAGATAATTTACTATTCCATTACAGTTAATAAAATTAATAATGATTTAAATATGCTTATCAAGAAGTGTTGCGTAATAAAGTAATATTATAGGATTTCTTTTAAAAAAACTTTTAAAACCGCCGTTGAACAGCTGACCCAATTTTTGGGTTTACGACTACTAATAACAAGCTTAAGCCCGTCCCGCCCCCGCAAGGGGGCACCCGGGACACTCCGAAAGTTCGAAGTGAGCGTAACAGTTCAATTACATGAGCAAACATATTCAAAATTTCAAATTAGAGTTTTAACAAATAAGTAGAATATTAAATATGAAATCCAGAAAACAGTGCCACTTAGAAATAAACTAAACTAAATAACTAATGCAATTAATTAATGCAAATTACGAAATAAGCTAATGCAAACAAACATTACGAAGAAAATAAACAGTAACAATCAGAAGAGATGTCGCATCTTCAGTAGGGGTGCAAAGTTAATAAAAGGAAACAATTTCACATGGAAAATATAGTATTGATTGTAACATAGAATATAATTACAGCTGGCACAACAGTACTAAAGGTATCAAATTCCAGGAACTTTTTTTTTTTAAAAAAAAGACATATTTATTTACGACTACTAATGTTCAACTCCGTAGCCTTGTGATTTTGAACTCAATCCAGAAGGCAAGGGTCAACTCCTGGATCAAGTGCCTTCGTGGAGGACTTTTTGAGGGAACTAACTTGTATTTGCGTTACATGGAGAGGAAGACCACGAGAACCTCACACGGTTAGCCTGATGGCAAGGGGACTCTAACCCATGATCCGTCTACCGCTGAGGATATTTCACGTGAGCACTGTGGTCGGTGCGAGCCGGGTGCGGAATTCGTATCGACCAGCCCTCGCCGGGATCGAACCCCGGTTCACCTCAGTGGAAGACGAACGCTCTATCCCCTGAGCCATCGCTGCTCTAGGATTGTTTTTATCGGGTTTAGGAAATTAGGGTTACTTTAAATAAATATCACGGGTTTAAATTTTTAAATTACAGTCCCTGACCTTATAAGACTCACCATAAGATTCTATGTAAAATCTTAATTATCAGGTGATACTACAGTCGAACTCGTTTATAACGAGCACAAAGGGACCGTAACATGTACTCGTTAAATCCGAGTGCTCGTAATAAACGGTTCCTTAAAGCAGGCGTACAACCAGAAGAGGGGGGGAGGTCAAATTATTGAGTTTACATAAAATTTAATTAATACTTACTTAATTTAATTAAATACTTTTCGTAATTTAATGACAACTATCCCCCCCCCCAACCAGCAAAAAATTTCTTGTTGCGCTACAGTCTTAAAGGAAAGAAGCAATAAACGGAAAGAAAAATAAAGGAAAAGATTCTTACCAAAACATTTATTTTTTTCATTAATCTACATATTTAAAATAGTAGTTTGTTAGCTCACTTTGAAGTTTCAGTTCGCGGTTTTTTTTTTTTTATTTCGCGTGCATTTCTTATCATTTTGAAAAAAAAGATTGCAAGACAGAAAAATATTGCTCGCTAAAACCGGGTTTTGCTCGTTAAAAGCGACTTCTGTTCCATAGACTTCACATTCATCCAACCAAATATTCTCGTTTCCCTCGGTAAATCCGAGTTCTCGTTATAAACGAGTTCGACTGTATTCAGCTTCATTGTTTTTTCGAGACTGAGACAGATTTGCACTTGTTTATGTTCCTGTATTAATGAGTTAACATTGTAATGCAATACGTTAAAAAATAAATACAAATAAGAAGGATATGAAAAATCTCCCGAATAAAAACCCATTACATGTAAGTTTAAATATAAAAGTATTGTATATAAACTCGTGCAAATCATGTCATTATTAAAAAACGACAGTGCGTCTGATAATATGATATTAATTATTATATGATATTATATCTCATTTAACCCATTGGTACACTAACATAAACAAGTGCAAATCGGTCTCTTAAAAACACTATAGCTGTATAGTATTACCTGATAATTAAGATTTTACATAGAATCTTAGAATGCGTCCAATAATTTATCCAATGACTGTAAGTTACTGGTTATTACCCTTAAACCAGGGATAAAGAAATATTTTACACGCATACCTTTAAGACGTTTATTAATATTATCCTGATCAAAACAAAAAAAAATCATGTTAGTAAACGGATCAAGCATGTGATTTGTCAGTCCAATGAAAATGCACAGAAAGGCTCTAATTTTCTGCTGCAATTTAAGTATCTTAATATATTTTCATTATTTTTTTGTTTTTGTTTCTGCAATTAAACTGGTGGTGGATTCATGGTTTCGCTAAAATTTAATTATTTGTAAGTGATTTTAACAGATTGTAAATCGTGTGAGTGACATCATCTAGTCACATGTTTTAATGCAGATGCACCCGCAACTTGTTTTGTGTAACCGGCAACTTCGATGCATAAGTAGTTTGTTTATGCTCTACATAGCTGTTAAGTAAGAAATAAATAATGGGCGAATTGAAAGAATCTTTGTGTAAGAATGTAGAATGTTTCACTTAAGAGAAATGATGTTTGGCAGGCTTGGCTTACTCGAAATAGGATGGTAAGAACAGTTGCAAACGTAAACAAGTGCCACGTTTCAACAGCCAATCAGGATCGATACACCTACACTACGTCACTTGTAGATATCCCATTTCCGTCAAATTTGTGCCGTTCATGTAAAGGTAATACTTGAAATCCAAAACCTACAGCAAAAAGTTAGATCCGTCTACGTCAGAATAAAACCACTAGAGTCCAGAGAAGTTAAAAAACATTTCTAGTTAAATAATTTTACTAATAGTTCTTTGTACAAAATGCTTTTTTAAAAAAAAGTTTTAAGTCAATAGCAATTGAGCTGGAGCACGTATTATAGGTGAGATTATCCAAACGGTGATATAAACTAAATCTGATGCAAAAAAGAATAGCACTGCTAACCATAAAGCAATGAATAAAGCAAAGTAAAGTGAATAAAGCGCAAATAAAAGCGCGAAAATGGACGGTTCTATAAGGAATAACCTTCCACAGTGCCGAAACACAAAATGACAGTAGCGAGACAAACAAGTAGCAATAAGGAAGGAGACAATCAAATTAGTAATTATAGTAGTATTTGTACACGATTGTACACAGAGCGCTGGTTCATTAAATACTATAATTTCAACAAACAATATTTTATTTTAACAATTGTAAATAACCAAAATCATTGCACTATTACAATGGAAGCCACGACTGGCTCAAACAAGAGTTCAAGAGAAAACTGAGCAGTTCACAACAATTGCTACAGATGGCGCTTCGCTTATGACCGAACAGTATTAATAGTTATAGTGGAAGTAGGTTGGGGTGGAAATCAAGAAATTAAAATAAAGTAAATTTTCGAGCATAGGAAAAGAAAGTGCAATCGAAAAGATTACGTAATTAACTAAATTATTAGAGTTTTTCAAAATATAAAATATCTTCCATTGTCGAGGAATGTACATGAAAAATAGTGTTGAAAAGAATGGGTAATTGAAGACACTAGAAAAAAAAGGATTTTTGGAAAGATTTTGTAATTATCCAAAGTTAGAATTTTTCAAAATATGGAATGTTTTAAAAAGTCGTGGAATGTACATGGAAAATAGTGTTGAATGATTTAAGCTGAGC